AGATACAAATAAAGTTTAGGCAAACGTACTTTGTTTGTCCGTACTTTGTTTGTCCGTAGATTTTCATTTCACCCTTGCCAACCGATCCTAATTCAGAGGCAAACTAATAAGAGAACCATAGACACACAAAATAAAATATTCTTCTAGAAAGAAAATGTTTATTGGGATATTTTTCTCAGTCGATCCATTCAAATTATTTGGTAACAGGTGGAGTGGAAACTGAAATAGGTTTATTGCATTAACAATTAACAATTAACAATTAGTTAAGCTTGCACAGAACAACAACGTGATAATTTTAGAGTCTTGTTCATTTGATCTGGCATTTGAAGCAGACCTATTTCTGGCAATGTGACTTAAAACCATAATGCTTGAAATCTTGTTTTCATCTGAAAGCATTGTGTATGCGATCCGTGTGTACTTACTGGGGCGCACATCTTGCAACCACTTAACACGTAATTGTCATGTGGGTTGTAGAAGGCGTGCTCTCTCAATTTAAAAGTGAAAAAGAAATCTTTTAAAGAGCTACGGGGAGGCCAACTCTTTTAGAGACGTTTCTTTTCCCACTCTGTAAGAGTAAATTTGCACCTTTTCGGACGTTTCCCCCCCCCCCCCTATGGCACGTAGTGAAAACCACTTTAAAAGAGTTAAGAATCTCTCAAACTTTGTGTAGAGCCATATTGGGACACATTTTTATTTTTTTAACTAAGTTTCTGTCAGGGAGTGGTGCAATAGTTATAAAAAATATATATATCAAGCTCCTCAGTTGATTAACTTACTTAATTTAACGTATAATATTTTTGTTTGACATTTCATGTATGGGAATATTGTACCATCATTCTCAAAAAAATAGTTTGAATCAGAGTTTGAAAGCTTGGAGCTGGAATTGGAAAGCGCTTTTGAATTCGATTTCTTGAAGTCGACTATGGACTCCAAGATATTCAACTCCTCAAATACAATTTTTACTTTATACCAAAACGGATGTTCCCTTTAATAACAAACAGCATTTCTACCAGAGTCCATGTACTGAAAATGCACCGATGTTTTTTTTTTACTGATATTGAGACTTGTCAATCTGCGTTAATAGTAGCTGTTATTAATTAGCCGTTTATCGAACTGTTTGCTTAGAATAAAAGGCAATACAACACCATCAACATAACTAATGTTGTTGTTTTTTTTTCTGTTCATACACTTTGTAATTTAATCTTTGCACCTGTTAATTGTACCTTAAGGAGAAATGTTCAATGCACAAAATGCTAAATAAAACGAGGCAAACTGAATATAATTATGAATGTCTCGAAAATGTTGGGTTCTGCCTGTGTCGGTGATGTTTAGCGTCCTGGAAAGAAGCAGCCCTTTTCCGTTTTTTGTTCCTTCCAAAATGGCCGCCCGACCGGGCCATTTTTAAGATGCCCGCCAGGTTTTTTTTTTAATGGCCGCCACTAGGACGCAAGAATCACATACTAGCTTAATATGGGCTAGATGCAACACACAAATAGACCAAAATTATGTCATTCATTAAAAATTATCATTTATTCGTTTTGAAAAAAAAAGAGGAGCCGGCCTCCAAAAAGAAGGCGAGCGGGGAGGCTAAACATGTTTTACTTTCGCTTATTTGGCCTTACGTCCACGGAACGACTTCTCGTTTTAACCCCCAGTATCTCCGGTAATGACATGAATTTTATTTCTTCAGATACATCTTGTAACCAGCTGGATGATTTACTTCACTACGTGATATTATCTTATAAACGTTTTCACCGTCGTGATGCCGCCATGATGAACATGTACTTGCATGATCAACAGACGATTCGAGGTGTTTCAATAACCGCTATAGTCCAGTCTGTGTGTTGTGTACTTAAGGCAACCTGTAATTATATTTGCGCAATTCTAAGAGGTGGATGGATTTGAGATTTTAGATAAATACCCACTTCACTTTTATATTACTTGAGAAGTGGTTTAATTACTTTACTTGTAAATGCACTGACACGTCGACGACAAATAAAGTGCTGTAATGACTTGAACATAATACCTGTTAACCACGATGCGGCATGCAACGCTCGTCCAAAGTGCAACTGAGGTCGGTGAGGACCAGCGAACATCGTACATGTAGTGCTCACACGAAGCGTGGCGCTAGAACAGTGCCTCGGCTCTATCTGAACCGCGCCGTGCCTTTGTGAATGCACGCACGTAAAATATTTGACATTGCTTCGGCGTTTTGTCCCCCTGTGGACGATTATCCTTATTTTGTTTCACTTTTTTGTTCTAGGTTAAAAAAAGTTAAGACAGGGTCGGCGGCAACTCTCGGCCTATTTGAGCCCACCCCTTTCATTTTTGTTCTTGTCTGGGCTAAAATTGCTGTATTCCTTTTTCACATGATTTTCCATATACTTTAATTAGGTGCAGTAAGCAACTTTGTAAATTTTAAAATCATCAACAAATCTATATATACCAAAATATGGGAATAAACATAATATTGCACAGCAGCCTTTACGATATATGCAAGTTAGGCAGCCCTCCAAAAAGAAAGTCAGGTGTCACCCCTTTTAAAAATCTTCTTTGGGGCTATAATAATCTATATGGTTACTATCTTGTCAAAATTGGATCTAAGCCAATTGACTATTAGAAGACCCCCCCCCCCTTCCCCGAGTGTGTTGGTGAAGAGTGTATGCGTCTGTAAACACCGGCAACACCAGCACAAAAGGGTTAGAGCACAGGCAGTACGGTCACGGTTGACCTAAAGTCCGCGATTGAAATTCGTGTACAAAACCAATGAGTGTTGTTGCTGCAAAGTTAAAGGAGGAAAAAAAAAACGAAGGAATGAGGATCACAGACAAATAGGGGGTCCACGATTGCCGGTGTTTACAAAAATGTGTGCTTTGGACCTGGGCACTAGTCCTCGGAAGAATTTCGTAAACAAATCTTATGGGAGCTGTCGAGAAAAAGTACAGGAAGGGAACAAAAGAAGGAAAGGGGCATGTCCTCATCAGTATAGTAAAAATGAGCGGGTGCGCGAGAGTCTGTTCCATTTGTGCCTGGTGGTGGACTGCCACGCAACGAGTCTGCTCCTTTGGCCTTGTCGGTTGGACTGCTGGATGGCGTCCGCTGAGGAAGCACTCTGGGTCAATGTCAGCGCGACTGCACACTATCATTGTGCAATTAAGTGAAGTTTTCAAACAGTTTAGAGTTGTGAGCCAGAAAAATACGAATTGTCCACACGAAGTTTCCTCAGTTGGCAACCGGGCTTTCCAAAGGCAACTTGAAAACAGCAATTTTAACTTGCAAACTAAACCATTCTACACTAACTTGTCCATCTTATTGATTGCTGAATATGTTCCCATTAATTGGGTAAATTTGGTCAAAAACAAAACAATGTGCATGTATATGGATGGTTTCGTTGTTAAAAATGTGTGTATACTGGCTTGTGTGTTAATTATATTAATTGTATCCATCTGTTTTATTTGTGTAGCCAAAATGAAGAAGCTGTGTCAAGTAGAGAGTGTGCCCTCACATAACGCATTGCAAGTAAGAAGATGAACCAGGATGTAGTGCAAGCTACAAGAAGAGATGACCTAGCGGAGGGAAATTTCTCGGAGGATATACCCAGTATACTGAGGAAGATGTTGAGACCTGCCTTGAATTATCTTGATACTTTCAAAATACAATTCTATTCAAAAACATGCCAAGAGAGCCCTTGCTATCCTTGAATGGAACGCTTCTGTTGAATGGTCTCTAGATGTGGTTGGATTCCCCATTACTTCCGCCTCAGGGATGGAAATCCTGTTTAAATGCATTCGGCTTACTTTAAACGCATGATTGCCTAAATTGAGCCTGGATCAAAATCAACCTGGTTCACAATTCCCCAAAATATTGCCCGTATCTGCCACACTATTACCATAAGAGAAAGAATCATATTTGCCATCAAAAGCGAAATACAACAACAAGTTGATCAAAAAGAGTTCGCTAAATATAAATGGTAACTTGTAATAGTAAAACCTTTGTGTAAATATTGTTTTCTTTCAATGTTTCCATGCTTGTCAGTAAGGACAACAAAAAGAAAAGAAAAAAAAACCGACTCTATTAGGAAGACTATCAAATGCAGTCTTGTGAAGCGGGAACGCGTCCAAGAGAAATATGGAGCATACCTACCTAATGCGCGTGCATTAAATTAAATACAGAGCGTGTGAGACAATTCCCCAGGTAGCGTTGCCGAAGTTCTCAATATTGGATTTGATAGATCTTGATAATCACGCCCTCTAACTCCAAGACGGCTTGACAACTTCAGTGTTGATTGAAGGGTTCGACAAAACGATGGGTTTCATTAACTCGGTCACACATTAATCAACCTAGCTCTAGAAATTTGCTCTTTGCCATTTTATTTCCATGTCACATTTGACGTATTATACAGATTAAAAGATACGCAAACCGCAATTGACCACATGCTTTACAATTTGGTTTGTTATTTGCAAATCAAATTGTTATTTGATAACCAAGGCTACGTAATCCACTTCCATGGTAAACCTTTGGAGCAGATCATCTGACATTTAAATAAGTTGTACAGCGTTTACAAACTACAGCACAGGGTGCAACAACTTTTCAAGACATACTCTTTTTTTCACGACGAGACGACACACGATTGTTATATAATGTGTCTATGTCGGTATACGTTGTCCTTTATTGATTGCGGTTTATTTGATTTAAGTATTGTTTTCATATGGATCATCATTAATGTATCATTAACGTCAAACTAACTAAACTTCATGCGTTGTTCGTTTGAGCTTAACTCATTACCACGACCATGACAAAACTTTGAAATATTTTATGTTATTTCATGCAAAGTTCTTGTGTCTTTGGAAGGTAAACGTGCAAACGTGCACAAGCCTATGTGCACAGTTGGTGGTGCGTGTTTTCAACATTTTTTACAACTAAGCTAAAGTGCGTTGGGAAGTTAAGTAAAGTATAATTATTTACTATTGAATTTGATCAGTACAGTACATCAACTGTTGCTTGACAATTACACTTTTACCATACTAATTAAACAAGAATAGCCTCTGAGGCATGTACTTTATTTAAATACCATTACATTCTTCAAATATGAAGCACTGCACATTTAACGCATTTTTTTTTTACATTAGTTCAAATAAACATGTACCACAATTTGTTACGAGTATACCGATAAGCTGAAACTTTGAAAAAAAAAGAGATAATGAATAAATGATGATTAAGCGCAGTTTAATCAGGTTTATGGACGCGCAGACACCTCGACATTTTTTAAGAAGATCCCTTATGTGGTTGTTTACGATTACGTCACACGCTGAACGCGTGAATAACTGGCGGTAATTGGTGGAAAGGTCTTCCGTGTACATGTAAATAGCACGCATTAGTTTGGCGTCGCGTCATTCTCGATTCCACCTCTGACCGGAGAAAAGGCAAATGTTTTGCCCATGAAAATGGAGATTGGTTGTTTCAGTTAGATGTGTATTCATTTTGAGTTCGAGTAACGCAAGTCCATAAATACACATATAATGCAAACGATTCTTTGTCCCTAGTTAAAACAAATCAAAAAGTGCGCCCTCACAGCCTGGAGAGGCAGAAAACGCAGCAAGAATTGGTAACATTTTGTGAGGTTAGTGCTGAGCAAACGGGCACGAATATTTTTTTGTTTGTTTAGAAGATTGATCTCGTGTGCGGCCGCCTAACGTTAACGATGTGTTTAACACGCATTGAGTTTCTGATGATTCAACCAAACAGTGTTTCCAAAGTGGTGACTGGCGTGCAGCAAATGGCCTTTTCCTTTCCTTATGGGCTCTGTGCGCCAACGAAAGAGGGCGTGTTTTTTCCAGTTGTGAGAGAATCTTGGACGGGAGACACAGCGTGTGCGTCTGTACTGTACGGGTTCACGCACAAAAAACGCTCGACTTCCTGAAATGTCTCCCAGGCTAATCCCCACCCACAATAACTATGGATCGTTAGAAAAACGCAGTGGATTGACCGGGGAAAAGTCTAGGTCTACCCTCAACTCTCCTTTTGTGGCCGTTGAAAAAGTATTTTGTGCACGGAGCCCATAGGTCACTTGCTTCTTACGGCGGCCGTACGCTTCTGTATATTTTTAATTAGTTCAAATACACATGTTGTAATCGATGTTATTTCAATAAGTTATTAATAGGCGTCATTTGGAGTTCTGCGGTTCAGAACATATCCAATGCAAACGTAAGGTGATTTTCAGCACCTGCAATGCATGCGCTTACAATAAGTGTAAATCAATTATGTTTTGCTGTCTGACAAGGAGGAGTTTACTGTTTCGATTGATCCAGTTTTGGGTTTCGAAACTTTATTACTCGACTTCACGTTACTGGACTGCACGCTGCGCTTGGCCATGACAGACGAATAGATCGTGTACAGGTAAGGGTTGAGAGAGGAGTTGATGGGTAGGACGAGGACTACGATCCAGGAGTAGACCTCAGCACCGACATGCACCGCCCCGGTCTGAGACAGGATACCGAGGATGATGACGGGCATCCAGCAGGCAAAGTCCGTACCGACGATCAGCGCCATCTTGAAGGCCATTTTGATCTCGCTGTCCCGGTTGGAGTTCTTTCTGATCTTGCTAGCAGACCGCTTGGCCTTGATGAAGATGGCGACGTAACAGACAAGGATAACCAGGAAACAGCAGAGATTGATGCCGAGAAACATGACGATTGACAGGATCCAGGCTGGTTTCTGACCGGTCGAAGAGACGATCTGCAAGGCGTCTGCGTCCCCGAACGGATTGTTGACGTCACTGGGCTCCAGCTGGACACCGTCCGCCTTGGTGGTCAGGGGCAGGCCGATGCAGACGTCTGATAGACCGTAGACGTCCGAGTTGGAGTCTACGACTAGAGTCGGTACGATGCTTAAGCAGAGAGCCGCCACCCAACCCGCTACGATGAACTTGTTGGCAGATGTCTCTCCGAGCTTCATCCTGGTGAAGGGAAACACGATTCCCAGGAGGCAATCAAGACTGATCATTGTGACGAAGAACACCGAGGCCTCACTTGACAGAACGGACAACACCCCGGCTACCTTACACGGCGCGCTGGACCGCCACTGCGCCGCTTGAGTGGAGTACCGCTCCCCGTAGTGGATGTCGGCAGCGGCTATCATCAACATGTACATTCCCATGATGAAATCAGACACGGCAAGATTAGCTATCAGCAAAGAGTGAGTCTTCTTGACTTCGTTTCCTTCCTTGTGCCGAAGCCTCCAAACGATTACCACAAAGTTGCCAAAGAGGGCGCTAATCCCAAGGACCCACATGCACACGCGCAGTCCGTAGTTCTGCATGAGGGAACCGCAGAGGTTGAGCGGGGGCTGTGACTGTGTGGTATGACAGTTGCTGATCTGGAAGCCTGGAATATCTCTCAGGAGACTGCAGCAAAGTCGGTAGTCATCAACAACACTGGGGAAGAACCAATGAAAAGTAAACATGAGAAAACGTCCAAAACCTTCAACGTAGGAAAGTATGGCATCTCTTTGCTCATAACAAAACAAAATATCATCTAGATCGAACATATATTACGCTTTTGTAGAAGCAGGTAGGGAGGAAAAGGCTCCGTATTTCGCATCTAATGGGTCATCGTCGCCTATGTCTCGAACCAGGACCCTGCAGAAATCATAATAACGCACCGAAATATTTTGATCGAAACTTGGTATTGTTCATCACCGATACATGGTGTCCACATAAGTAGTCAAAAACGACTAGAACAATATCTATCAATGCTTATAAACCTAAAAGACAATGTGGTTTAAAACATTTCAAAAGGCATATCCGTTATTAAATCATGTGAAGACTCCAGTCTCATATAGACCAAAATTGACACTAAAATACCCCTGGATATCACACGTTGATTGAGGGGTTTGTTTTGGCCGTTAGCAGCCGGCAGCGTATGGTTGGTACCAAGTTGATATTCAACTTCAACATTCGTCTGGCCATAAATTTCAAAATAGGTGGAAACCAACATTAAAAACAAAATAAGTGGTAGCCTGCTATTCAGCCCGTCTAAATTATACACTTACAAGGTTTTCAGATTGTAAAGACCAGTGAATGCATTCTTAGCTGCAATTCGCAATTCTGGTGCATCCGTAATGACCCTGTTGAAAATACAATGAGCAATATTGTCTTTTATTTTCCTAAATGTCATACTGATATATTATCAATCATATGCTTGAAGCCAATGAAAGCTTGTCATGTTGTCTTAATTAAAACCTCCTCCAAAGTACATGAATGTGCAGACGATTGACATATGTGCGACATTATATACGCCCCAGTCACGCATTTACGCTGGGAGTTAACAATAACTACGGTTTACCAAGAATCAATCAGTTACGATGAACCGTCGAGATTCGTGGAGAAATCGACTTTCTAAGAATGCGCTGCGGTTTCAGGACGGATATCCAAGACTTTCCTAAGGCTTCTTCACGAATATACCACGGTTTGTCAAGAATATGAACGGATTGTTGAGGAATGTCGACGGTACTACTAGAAATAATGATGTTAACGCCACGGTTGTCTGCGATTGGGCCATGGACGACCAAGGTTCTCCTACGAATGAAGCATACATATTCGCAGTACAACCTTAGCAGAATCCTAGCATATCCGGGCATATTCGTAGGACATTCATAGCGAATTCGTAGAGATTTCTAGGGTAGAGCTACAAATCTCCTGGAATGTGTACGAATAGCCACAAATAACACTACGAATTAGTACGGTTGTCCTACGGATGTCACACGGTTTCACCACGGATAGATTTTCATGACGATTCACGACGGAAGTTTGGAATAGTTCAAAACTTCTTGAGCTCCTCCACGATTAATGGTAGGAAGATGACGGATAACACGGATGTACCAAGGATGAATACGGTACTCACACGGTTCAACACGAATGTTAAACCGTGGATATCCCGCAGCTGCAAATATAGAATCTGTGACTGGGGCTTTAAGGTCACGGATCAGATGAGACACTTTGCGGTGTCAAAATGTTTTCACATGGGGCACTGACCCAAAACGATCCCTTTGTTTTTCCTTATGGAGAGGTAGTCTAAGAATTTGATCCCTGTTCATGTTCCCCTTATTTTTGATCGATCACGTTATTGTTCGAACAGGAAATGTTCGACACTCTTTCATTGGATATCCGGTGCAACCCAAATGGGGTCATATCTTACTCATAACATGTTAAAATGTGTCTCAGATGTTCTATTTGATTAACACTATAAGTACTTGGATCAGATTGAACTCTACTATAGTTTTTATTTCACTTACAGCGCTTCGAGGTTCTGGAGTTCACTGAATGTGTCGGCTACTATCTCAGTCATCTCATTCCCGGAAATATTGCTGTCACGCGAACAAAATAAGTAGAAAGGCACATTTGTGTGAAGGGTTAGAAACACTGTTAGGTAAAGAGAAAAATCGATATGGACTACTACAGAAAGGAAATAGTAGATGCTAAATGTAACTTAACGACGCTCCAGCCAAGATTTGGACCTTAACTGGCATACCGAACAGTCTTATATGCTGACATCCGTACTGAACGAGGTTCAAAGCCATTGCCTAAGTTAAACAGAAATTAATTGGAATTGATGGTGAAGTACATCATTTTGCAGCTATCCAAAAAAAGTAAGTAACAAATTATTGCTAAAAAGTGATACTTGGTTTATGAAGAGTAAAGACACTAAACTCCCTGTGAAATATTTCTTAGATGATGTTCTAAATAGATAATAATTATAAATTGTTCAAAATAACAGCGACTCGAACCGACAGGAGCAAAACATTGACTTGACTCGAATCGACTTGCCCACAAACTGTGACCTGACTCGACCATAAACTGTGACTCTACTCAACCTTCTTGACCTAATGACTCGACTCGGATCGTTTTATTTCCTTAAATGACTCGACTCTTTTCGAGTCACAAAATTCATTGTGACTCGTTGCAACTCTAGCATTAACAGTGCTACAACTTCATGAGGTTATCTGTCAAGTACCATTATGTTGAGCACTTTGGTTGCTTCAAACGAAACAAACTCAAACAAATTAATGACAAGTGCCTTTAAGAAACAAGGCTAGATTTTAGTTTTACTTGAAGGGACTACAACTTTGCGAGTTTCAACCTAAAATTTCGAGGTAAACAAATGAAAGGTAAAGTGATTGCAATTGCTAAAGTTGCCAGACGTGTCTATTTGTTCAGGTCATACTTGATTAATTCTTGGCAGATTTAGTTCGAAAAGAATATAACTCACAGATATGTAAGATTTCCCAAGCCGTAGAAGGCTCCTGGTGGGATATTACGTAGCTTATTGTAGGGGACAGAGCTTTGAAATAAAAAAAACAAACAAAGTATGATAACAATGATGTTTCAATAGTCGAATATATTGATAAAGAAATGTTGATTTTGCAAAGATTATACATGTGACAGCGTCATTGTAGATTTTGAAGGTAGACGTAGGGTAATAAAATCATAACGGAAGGCCTTAGGCCTAACATAAAATTTATTGCAACGCCATTTAGTTTGGCGATCTTTAATTTTGAATATGGAGCGGACAGACAGTACTCAACATGGGGTTTGTTGTGTAATTTAACACCTGCATTACTCACCGGAACTGATTATCTTAACTTCCCGACAAGCTTAATTGACTCGGTCTTTGAATATTGATCAAGCGGTAATGAATGCGCTACACGCAAAAATATTAAACGGAAGGAAACCCCCCTTTTTTTTAGGGGGAGGGGCATATCACTGCTTTACAGGCAAGCATAACGTTGATACATGTATATTTTTTTGCTAATTGATTGAGTTCCAACTAAAGGGTCGCAGACACGGACAAATGAAACATCTGTTTCTTTTACCACTCCCACTTACAGAGATCGAAGAAGCTTCAATTCTTTGAAAAGTCCCGGTACGAGTTGAACGGAACTGTGGTTCTTTTGCCGAGTTAGCCGGCTATATACATATATAAAAAGAGAAAAATGTCGTTGAATGCATTATTAATAACAAAACAAGTTGAGTGACAGTTTTTAGGTCGTGCAACAATTTTGCATACTTTCAAGAAAACTTTGAAATAAAACCATGGTTCGTACCAAATACTCGTTAAAGTATGAGAACAGGTCAATTATTCATCATTATGGGACAACGGCATGTATTAAACATGTTGTGTAAGTAACATGAAGGACATGATATAGTGTGTGTTTTTCTAACATAAACAAACACAAACAAGAAGAAGAAGGCATTTGATGTAAGAGACTTGAAGAGAGTGGAGACAATGAGATGAAGGAGACCTGAGCGTTCCCGATTAGAACGACAAATGGACAAAAACCTGAAGAAATGAGACTAGACGAGATTAGATGAGACCCAAAAAAGAGATTTCGATGGAACAAGACGAGAAATGAGACAAGACATGACAACGCAGTTGCACCTTTCAGCTTAGAAATACTCACAGTGCCACGGTGATTTTCGCGATGTCTTGTAGATCATCTGGTCCCCAATCATGTAAACACACTACCTGGAATTGGCCCTTGACGTACGTACATGAACAATTGTTTGGACAGCGTTTGTTATCTGCAAAATTATTGTAAAACACAATATGAACATCTTTGCGTATTGCATTACCACTTTGTTACAAGATGCTCAGTCTGGCGTGCATGTTCTTTTTGTATTTTTTTAAATTTGTTTTAATGCCAACCAAATACCGCACCTAACCTCACCCGCTGCAGAAAAAGGCGAACGAAATAATTAGGTCAATATTGTATTATTAACCTCTGCGTATTATTTTTTGGGGAAAGACGCGTTTGTAGACATTGGAGTAACGGTGTTTTGAACGTGCATCTATAAAGAGTGCCCCCCCCCCCACCAAAAAAAAACAAAAAAAACAAAAAAAAACAAACAAACAAACAGACACCCCAACAAACAAACTAACAAACGGAACGGCATACTACATCCACTACCTTGAGACTCAAGCCACCTGTACCAAATGGACGGATTATCGTTTTAGAAGAAATATAATACCAAGATTACCCAATGTGGTCAAGTAGTTTTTGCTGCAGTAGTTTTGCTGCCTATTTTGTGAAGCAACCATCTTTCTTACCTAAAAATCAACCCCTCTATCCAACTCAGCCAAATTAACCCAGTTATTCAGCTCATAATATTTAACATGATCAACGCCTTAATGTACACTCGGATTACGACGATTTATTCAAGCGTTGTATAAATGGAAATAACGAATAACAAATGAAATGTAAGTATTTGGTTGCACACGGACAACATTCTTGTACATACATGGGGAACCAAAGACGTAACACCTAGGCTAAGATGGGATGCATTATAAAAGTCCATTTGTCCTCACCGCATTCTACTTCATCGTCGCCGTGCTCACAGTCAATTTTACCGTCGCAAACATTTTGGAACACAATGCATGTTTTTGTTCGGCTGCAGTGGTAATCTGATGGGCAGTACACCTCAGCTGAAGAAAGGAAAACGGGTCACAGCTAAAACTAAAATACGAATGAATTCAGTTGTGAAAGTAGACTTATGTCTGTGGACAAACACAGGGATGTTTCGGCAAACCATTTTGCTGACATCTGTCAAGTACAGTTACAAGAAGAAGTTACATCACGGAACGATGCTTCTGTAGATATTGCGATGTGTACAATTGAAGGTGGTGTTCAATAATACGTGCTTACATTCTAATAGGCCTTCAAATTGTTCATGCTTAATGTGACTTTACATGACAGGTGATGACGTCATCATGACGTCACCTCAATTGTAAATTGACATCCAGTCTATAACTACCTACCAAGTTACTTAATCAAATCAGAAAATTACTTCTGCAGGCATATATATTGGCCGAAAAAAAAATCGCCTTTCATGTGACGTCACATGACATGTGATGACGCTATCATAACGTCACCACGATGTCAATTAAATTGTAATCTACAACACATCCCGGTTAAGGTGGATACCAAGTTACAACCAAATTGGACCTACAGTTCTGTAGATATACGCCTTAGATAGCAACAAATATGTGGTCTCAGCAGTAGAGTACCAGTCAACAGCAGACAATACATGCCATACAATGTTCACTGGTAACCTGTTTAGGATGCTTCACGGCTTACCACAATCGTTCTCGTCTTCTCCGTTCAGGCAATCAAGGAATCCATCGCATTTAGCTGATGATACAAGACACGCTCCTTCTTCGCACAGGAATCCAGACTCCCCGTCAGTCATGCACCAATCTGCAGGAGAAAAACAAAACACATTTAAAAAGTGAAATCAACGTGTATCTTCGAAAGAGAATAAACAACAACACCTATTTTTGCGAAAAATTACGATAATGAGTGGGAGCAATGACGTCTACTCTAAAATTCGTGGCAATGCTCACTGCTTCTGGAAAAGAATCGATTCTGACGAGTGAGAAATGATGGGTTGCAGGCAGAATTAATACAACAACGTCTTGGATTTTGATCATTAATCTTAATTGGCTTGTAATCTTAAAAAACAAAATTCAGACTTCACTGTATAAAGAGATAAACTAAGTCCCACGTTACTGTATTTATATTCAGAACGGTATAAATGAAACTGTTTTTAGTCAAACAACTTTTTTAGGAGGAATAGTTAATCCCTTGTGCATATACTTACCTGTTTTAGACTCGCCGTGTTTAATATATGACAAAGTTTTGTTTTGGCAATATCTTAGAGTACAACTTTGTACTGTTAATTCATTACATCACATCGACGGAAATCAATCTGCTTTTGACTTTCTTACGTTAATGTTTCAATCTGGGTCGTTGTGAAATTATAAAAAAATGCTATTGAAATCTGGCATCAACATTATCTCAATCACCTGTCTCTCCAGCTGTTAAATTGACATTGGTCACGTGAAAGTGGAATCCTGTAAACTGGAGGTTAGAGTCAGTCCGGAATCGGACAGTCAGTCCCATCGAAGCATTGAACACCACGGCGACTATCTTGGTGGTGGTCCCCGTCAGCGTGTAGTCCGCCGGTTCTCCCCCGGGGAAAGTGAGCCCGCTGACCTGGGCCACATCCTCGCCTGCCTCGGTGGAGAAGTCCAGGACGCGGATCAACGTGGCTGGAGCCAGGCCGCGGGAGGGTACGTCCCAGCGGCAGTACAGGCCGGCCGGGTAGGGCTGCGGATAGTCCGGCGACTTGACGATCACAGCGTCGTCGAGAAAGGTCACGGCGTTGGAGTCGCATTCCACTGTATAGTGATAAAAGACAAACAAGTATTTCGTAGAGCGCTTGGCAACAAATGATTATCAGAAGCCTTGTTTTGAAGAGTTTCATTCACAATGTAAAAACTTGTTCTAACATAAAACATACATAGTAAATACAAAGATTTAATGTTAAACCCGCCTGTCCAACCTATGCTGAAAATGCCAGCAATCCTAATGATTATTAACTTAATAACGTCATGCTGAATTTGAAATGCGAAAATAGGAGCATGAAGTGGATACGTCCCCACCCCAGCCCATACATCTTTGTAAACACCGACAATCGTAGACCACTTATTGTCCCTAATTCCCACACATTGTTAAAATGTTTATCAACAGCTCTCATTGGTTTTGTACACAAGCTTCAATCTTGGAATATCGGTCAATCGTGGACGTATTCTTTGTGTCCTAGCCTTTTTGACCTAGATCCACGATTGCCGGTGTTTACATACTTACAAAAACACTCATGCAGCAAAGCGTGACTTATTACATCTCAGATCCAATGACTCGGTCCGATATTCACGAATTGTCAAAACTATAACTTAATTTCAAACATGACGATTCAGAAACAAATTCACTTGAACGATACCTTAATAAAACGTATTTAAAGCTTAAAGCCGACAAACGTATGACGATTTCAGTAAAATGATAACAGTAGGCTTAGTCAGTTGGACACAATTTTGGACAAGATCGTAACCGACTGGTCCAAAGCACCAAAATTGGCAGATATATTGCTATAACCTCAGCGAAGATGTTTAGTGAAGGTGACACCTGACATTCTTTTGGGAAGGGTGCCTAATTTGCATAAATTGTTAATCCCTACCGTGTATTATATTTACTCCCATATTTCAGTATATTTTTATTTTTTGATTTTTTGAAAAGTATATTTGGTGATTCCACTTACACGTCCTTACTTTAATATTATGTTTTAAAGCATTTAAGACTGACTGGATAATTATGAGGACAAAATAACGATCCAAAATGGCTAATATTATACTCTAAAGTTGCGTGCATTAACTTTGTCTCCAGATATCATCAAGTAGTCTTGCCACAACCTTAGTATTGATAAGCTTCAAATTCACCAAGTTTCTTACTGGCACAGTTTTTCGATTAAAACGTCATGATAAATCATGTGAACAATGATAATATTGTGTTATTTAGCCCAGAAAACGAAAACGGGGAACTTGATCAAGTTCCTAATGTTATCGGCAGGCTTTGCCTAATGTTTAGCACAATTTACGGACACCTCATTTTCCCCCTTTTTGTTTTCACACGATTTCCCATTTATTTTGTAAGAGTAACTGTGTCAGTCAGTTTCTTTGAGAATTTGAAGCTCATCAATACTGAGGTTTGGCAAGACTACTTGATGAAATATGAGGGAAAAGGAAATGCTCGCAACTTTAGGGTATATTGGTAGCCATTTGGATCTGTATCATGTCCTCATAATCTTCAAGTCTCCGATATGCTTTAGAAAATGTTACTTAAGTAAGGATTTGTAAGTAAAATCCCCAAAACATACTTTTTAAAGAAAATAAACATCTACCCAAATATGGGAATAAATATACTACACAGCAGGGATTAACGCTTTATGCAAATTAGGCACCCTACCCAAACGAATTTCTGGTGTCATCCCTTCTAAATATCTTCTCTAGCACCATAGGAATCCATCTGCTAAGTTTGGTGCTTTGGACCAGTCGGTCACGATTCAAACGGTATGCCACCTGACTAGCTTAACTTTAGCAACTTCAGTAAATCAGGCATGTTTACAATTGAATTTTTTTTTTTTAAGATTTCAGTTTCAAGGGTTGTGTTTTATGTTACGTAAGTCTGTTACTTACGGTCAGGACATACTCCTTCGCTGTTCTCGCTGACGCAGATAAAATCCTTGTAGTCGCACAGCGTTTCCCCTGCTTCACAGGAAACTGTCGACAGAACCGTTTGAAAATATAAAGTTAATAAAATATTTTCTGATTTTTTTTTATTTTTTATATCGAATAAACAAGATCTTACCTTGGTCAGGAGTAACGTGTTCAACTCGCAGCGAAAACCCCTGATACTTGTACTTGTTGTCAGAAGAAAACATCAAATACATCGAGTGCTCCATCGAAGCAACCCTCGCCGGGAAGTTTGTGCTGCAATAAAAAAAAATAGATGTTAGGCCAAAAAAAACCAAAAAGTCGGTCTCTGGTCAGCGCGCGCGTCGATTGTAATCATGCACGTCGATCTTTTTTTTTTGCCCAAAATGTTCCGCGGTAGCTCCAACAGCGCCCTCTATTTCCGCACCTCCTCATTTTTTTTTTTACCAAAGAGCACCAAGGAATGGGAAATTGCACCAAGGCAAATGATCGAAAGCACCAAGGCAAATTATGGAGGACACCAATGAACATGAGAACACCAAAAAAGCAAAATAGTACCCCACCTTGTCTGTACAATCCAAGCTGGAAGAAAAAAAAAAGGAAAAAAAAACAAAAAGCCGCGTGGCCGCGTCAATTCCGGAACTTTGGTATGACCAGAGACCGAATATTTTTTTTTTTGGCCTTAGTATTGATTTGATCACGAATTGGGAGTTAAAAAAACCGCCCACTGTATATAAGATGAGAACCACTGAAGCCAATAATGCAACATGGTGCTGTAATTGTCCACACATATCAAAGGTCGCTAGCTGATGAACCTTCCTTCCCCCCGAAAAAAAATATAATAATTACCGATAATTGGGTTTTAGAGAGACATTCCCATTGACTTGTGCACACATTTGTTTTCCAACTTTAAAGACCCCTCATTCCAATGTTACTTTATACTACCCCACAATTTTCGGTATTTTTTTTTACTAATTCAATCACGAGCAATCGATCTAGCCTATTTTGCGGCGAAACAATTCGGACTCTTAAGTAGGGGATATGGATGGAAGCCATTCAAAAATGATCACGACATTTGTTGTTTGTTTATCTCCCTGTTACTTGTGATTTACTTCCGTACACATTTATGATGAGCTTGTGATGGACACGTCTGCCACAATGGCCCAAAGTGTTAACTTTACCCGCTGAGCTGCAGAATGACGTCCTCCATCGGGGTGAGCCCGTTGCCGATCCACAGTTTGTCGTAGCCTTGCTCCGTGTCAAAGGTCATGAAAGTCACCATGACACGTTGGTCCCGTGCAGCCTGGATAACGTACGTGCATGCCATGTTGTGAGGGTAATTTTGGGGCCAGGCTGGGGACGTGAGTGTGACGGGCGAGGTATCGGTGAGGTTGAAGTGCGCGTCTCCACATGGCCCTGCATAATGGGAAATATATATGTGTGACCCTTCTAAATAATACGGGCTGAACGGCTGATTCTCAGTTTGTGCTGGTTTATTTCTGTTGAGGAACGAAGACAACGTGTTACTTGGTCTTCGACCGAAAACAGAATCAAATATACAAAATACAAAAGAATGACTGTACAAAATACTTATGAAATAATCTAGATACTAAATACCAAAAAGGATTCATCAATATTTACTCAAGATCCCGCGGTTTGCGCCTAAATTCGGGCAGCGTCCGCCATATTGAATTTTACTGTGAAAACCCAATAAATACAAGATAATTAATCCAATCTTATATAATAATGAAGAAATGAACTGCTGAATTCCTTCTACAATATCGAAATATCTATCACTCTTACGATAAGATAATTAAATGAATTCTTGATTACATGAAAAATCACAAGTCAATCAATATCCTGAAATAATCGAATATGCTTCCAAAATCAACTAAAATGACCTAAGAGCAATCTAAATCTACTCAAGGATAGTACCTGTTAACTGTGAATTAATATAAGTTATTATTATGAGAAAGATTGAGGTAAAATGTAAAAAGATCATTACCTGTTGAGGAACGAAGACAACGTGTTACTTGGTCTTCGACCGAAAACAGAATGACGAAATGTGGAAAGCGCGCGAACTGGTTTACAAAACCAAGAGGGCGCTCGCTAATTTAAATAACAGAAAACGATTACGTAATGTAAAAATAAATAGAGGGGGGTTTGCATCGCAACCGTCACATTATTCCCTCTCGAGAGAAAATGTCGTCCTCGACATTTTGTTTAACGTACACTATTTATACAATGATAATATAAGAAAGTATTAAATAATTAAATAAATGTAATACAGAATAATTAAATAAAGATAAACAGAATCATGACTTCTACCTTCTAATGTCATTATTATAACCACTAAATCAAACATCCGATCGGCTCCTCGTCCTCCAGAAATTCAAAGAAGTCAAAAAAGAAGTATTCTTTAACTTAATTAGAACACCAGTTATCCAAAATCACTTAGATTAATATCAAAATGTTTCCCTGAAAATCTGTCGTTTTGGACAATTAAGTTAACTTATTCTGATGCAGAAGATATATACATGGTAACATCACTTTTTATATAAAAGAAATTAACATAATCCACCTTTGATTACGAAGATCAACCTTGAAATAGCATAATGCATAATATACATGAAAATAAAGAGATCATAATTTTCGTCTTTTCAAGATCTCTGTCACCAGTGTTCGCAAGATAATCTTACATCATTATTAAAAGCAAATTAAATTTAATATATACAATTATATTTGGGATAGAGCCATGGTTAGATTGGACTGTTTTCTCGCAGAAGGAGTCTTAGACAAGCTTTTCTTCTTGTCTCGGCCATCTTTGGTTCCTTCCACTTTTCAAACAGTCGTCTTCCGGCGTTGACTCTCTCTTGATGTGATTGGTACTGTGCTCGCTGCTGTTTGTTTTGACCGAGGAAGTCGTACGTCAACCTATTGACAGGTCTTCTGGTTCTGGTAGGTCTAGGGCTTGGTGGTGTGAGACAAGCTGTGCTGTCAGAGATGTTTAACTCATCTGGGGTCTCGTTAGCCTGCGTGCTCAGTACCTCAGGAGTTAGTGATGGTGGTAAGATTGAAGGAGAAGTATCATCACTGTTTCTCGTACCAAGATCAATCATTGGAGTAAGCACAGGTGGTGGAGGTGAAGGTGAAGGTGATTCTGTTTCTACTGGGAGAAATGCTATGTCCACCTCTTCCTCGCTGGTTTCACTTTCTTCCATGCCTATCTTTTGAGGTTGGTCATCTGCCTGTTCCGTGTCGGGCTCTGTTTTTGTTTGAGTGTTCGTCGGGGGCACGTCTCTTCTCAAGCTGGCCTCTTCCATGGGCAGAAACATACATGGAGTCAGCAGATTTCTGTGTACGGTTCTCTCTCTTCCATTATTAAGAGAACGGAGGGTATACACCGGAAGGTCTTGATGCTTAGATATTACTACGTAGGGTTGTGACTCCCACCTGTCGGCTAACTTGCTAGTTCCGACCAGATGTTTATTTTGGACAAGGACTCTGTCACCTATACGTAGGGGGGCGATACAGGAACCTCTGTCATAAAGGCGTTTCTGTTTCGCCTTTGCCTGCTTGACGAAGTCGCTAGCCCTTTTGTACGAGGCTTGAAGTCTGTCCCTCAGCTGTTCGACATACTCATCGTAATTTGGTGTTTCTCTCTCCGTGGACTTGAGTCCGAACATCAAGTCAACTGGTAGGTTTGGATGTCTGCCGAACATGAGATAAAATGGAGCATAACCGGTAGAGTCGTGTCGTGTGGAATTATAGGCGTGTGTCATTGTTCCTACGTATTGTTTCCAGTCTTTCTTCTGGTTTTCTTCGAGCGTACCGAGCATGTTCAGCAGAGTGTGGTTGAAGCGTTCTGTAAGGCCATTCCCTTGAGGATGGTAGGGGGTTGTTCGACTTTTTTTGATGCCAGAGATCTTACAGAGTTCCCGGATGAGCTGACTTTCGAAATTACGACCCTGGTCCGCGTGTATTCTCACCGGAAATCCATAGTGCTGAATTATCTTCTCCCAGAGTATCTTGGCAACCGTGTCGGCCTTTTGATCGCGAGTAGGGAACGCCTGAGCATATTTGGTGAAATGGTCGGTTATGACCAGTATGTTTTCATAACCGCCTTTGCTCCTTTCCAACTTGAGATAATCGATGCAAAGTAGCTCCATAGGTTCGCTTGTGCTGATGTTGACCAAAGGTACACGAGTTTTTGTGGAGGGAGTCTTCCTCAGGCAGCATCTCTTGCAGTGCTCGCACCAGGTTTTGATGTCCTGTGCCATCTTAGGCCAAAAAAACCTGTTTCTTGCCATGTCGAGCGTTCTGTCAAAGCCAAGGTGGCCGAAGTCATTGTGGAGAGATCTCATGACAGTGTCTCTGTATTGTTGAGGAAGAACAAGTTGTTCTGCTGTTGATCCATCCTGGTTCTTTCTCAGACGATAGAGCACGCCATCCCTCATCTGGAGCTTTGCCCATTGTCGTAAACAGATGAGACATCCAAGCTGTTCGCAACCTCTCTCTTCTCTGGTTGGCTTTCTGCCCTTCTCCATGTAGTGTATGACTCTGGCGATATTATGATCACTTCTCTGGGCTGAAATGATGTCTTTTTTCGATAGTCTAGGCAAGTCATTGGTTGGTCCTGGCATGTGACTCTCGGTCGTGACTTCACATCTAGCTACTGGAGGCTGTACAAAGAGATTTGGTTCTAGTGGGTGACTGTTGCAGATGGCTTGCACGATGTGAGGTGGGATGGTGATGGCGTCCTTCTGGAATGTCAGGAGAGTCCTCGAGGTATCAGAATGTGGTTTGCGAGATAGCGCATCGGCTGCTTCGTTGCTCTTGCCTGGTTTGTACTTCACAGTGAAGTTGAACTGGGATAACGCAGCAATCCATCTTTGGCCTGTTGCATCTAGCTTGGCAGAGGTGGTGACATACAGGAGAGGATTGTTATCAGTCAGCACTGTAAATTGGTTGCCCAGTAGGTAATCTCGAAACTTGTCAGTAATTGCCCACTTCATCGCTAAGAATTCTAGCTTGTGCGCTGGGTAGCGAGATTCGGCGGGGCTGAGAACTCTACTGGCGTATGCGATGACTCGTTCCGTTCCTTCCTGTACTTGGCTGAGAACAGCTCCGAGCCCGACTCCAGACGCATCAGTCTGCAGGATGAATGGGAGTGAGTAGTTGGCGTAGGCGAGGATCGGTGGAGATGTCAACTGTTGTTTCAATTGATCCATGGCCATCTGACAATCATCCGTCCAAATGAATGGTGGGGTTACAGATGTAGAGGTTTTTCTGATCTTCCTCTTCTTTCGTCTTGGGTCACCGGATGTGAGTTTGTAGAGAGGTGAGGCAATGTGCGAATACCCTTTAATGAAGCGCCTATAGTAGCCGGTGAAGCCGAGAAATCGTTGTAATTCTTTGCGGCTAGTGGGGGTTGGCCAGTGTTGTACTTGCACAGTTTTGTCTGGATCACTACAGATACCTTTGCCCGAAACAATGTGACCAAGATACTTTACTTCTTCTTGGAGGAGGTTACACTTAGACGGCTTGAGTTTTAGGCCATGTTGTCTCAGGCATGAGAATACTTTGGCAAGACGGTCAAGATGTTCTTCGAAGTTGGTAGAGAAAATGATTATGTCGTCGAGATACAGCAGACATGTGACATAGTTTTGCTCTCCTAGACAAGTCATCATAAGGCGTTGGAACGTAGCCGGAGCATTGGCTAACCCGAAAGGCATCCGGTTACATTCATATAAGCCCATGGGAGTAGTGAAGGCTGTCTTGGGTATGTCTTTTTCTTCCATTTGGACTTGCCAGTAGCCTGATGTAAGGTCTAATGTGGTGAAGAGTTGGGCGTTTCCAAGGGCATCCAGAGCTTCGTCAATGCGTGGGAGTGGATAAGCATCCCGTACAGTTTTGCTGTTCAGACGACGGTAGTCGATGCATATTCGCAATGAGCCATCTTTCTTATGTGCAATCACGATCGGCGAGGCAAAGGGACTGCTACTTCTACGAATTACGTCTGTTTCCTCCATGGCCTTGAGGTGATCCTTGACAGCTTGGTATTGCGAAGGTGGGACTCGGCGATGAGGAAGTCGAAATGGTTGATCATCTATGAGTGGAATGCTGTGCTTAATCGTTGATGTACATCCGAAGTCAAGTGAACTAGATGAGAATACATCAGAGTATTCTTGAAGAAGATTTTCCAGCTGTTTCTTCTGTGATTCGCTGTCAAATTTCGCGGTGGAGAGGTCTACAGGAGGTGTAAATCTTACATCTGATGGATCATCATGGACTTGACTCTGATCTGTCGGAGTTGTGCATTCATGGTCTCTATCTTCCCGTCTAGATTGTGACTTATCTTGATTTTGATGGCGTGGTAGATCATCAATGCGCAAGATGGACGAT